CCACCCTTTACCTCCACCACCACCAAATATCACTACAAACTATCGCGAATACCACCCCACTACCCACCACCACCACCACTACCCACTACCCACCACCTAATAACAACCACCAAACATCACCATCATTTATCACATATCACTACCCACTAAACACCACAACCTCCATCCTATAACCTACCACCACCGCCCACAATCCACCACGTTATTATATGTATGTAATCACATATGATTTATATAGGCCATAAAATGAATCTTTTGCACATTAATCATATGTGATTAACTACATATAGTCACATGTGATTCATTATATGAGAATAACTATTGAATAAAAAACACAAAAACAAATCTTCTCAATGTTTATCATATGTGATTATATACACAAGAACACCTATTGAATCAAGAACATGAAAATAAATCTTTTTCACATAAATCATATGTGACTAAATACATATAATCACATGTTATTAAATACACGAGACCAACTATTGAACTAAAAACACAAAAAAAAAATATTGTTTACATAAATCATATGTGATTAAATACATATAATAACATGTGATTATATGTACCTAATCATATATGATTTATGTGGACTATATTCATTGTTTATTTCTTGATTCAATAGTTGTACTCATGTACATAATCACATGTGATTATATGTATCAAGTCACATATGATTATATTGATAATATTCATTTTCGTATTTTTGATTCAATATTTTTTGTCATGTATTTAATCATATGTGATTGTATGTATTTAATCACATATGATTAATGTGGAAAAAGAAAGAATATTGAATCGAAAACACGAATCTTGTGTACACTACATAAATCATATGTGACTAAGATGCTGTTTGTTTTTTTGAAGCAAAAATCCATAAAGTCTACGGACCACCTCTACAACCCTCTGCAATAGAAGAAGTGGACCAAACGGCTGCAGACTGTAATAAGAAGCGTGTTTGTTTTTTTATCATCTGCATGCTGCTACATATATTAAAAAATTAAAATAAACTGATTTTATAATCTGAAAATAGTTTTTTAATACCGAAAGTTTAATAATGTATGACATTTCGGCAAGGATTTATGATATTTTAGCAAAAAATAATGATATCTTAACAAAAAAATAAAGATATTTTAGCATAAAATAATGATATTTCATCAAAAAATTATTATTATTCAATATAAAAGAAAAAAAGAAAAAAAAAATTCAACAAGAATAAACAGAAAAAAAATGAAAAAAAATGTGAAATAAGATTTCATTAATATATAATCAATATTTTAGCAAGAAAAAAAAAGAAGAAGAAGAAGAGGTTGGAAGAAGTAGGAAGAGGCAAAACCAGTGTTGCACCAAAAAGAACACACGCAGATGTTTTTTAATCCGAAGACTTCAGAAAAACAAACAGCTGCAAGATGAAAAGTGTTGCGCGTGTGCTTCGCCGCGCAGCAATAAGAGGTCTGAAGAGGTTTTTTCCAAAAATCAAACAACACCTAAATGTAGAAGAACAATTATTGAACAATACTGAGAAAAGGAATATTGTGCATATAAAGCATATCTGGTTAGATACATATAATCTCATGTAATTAAATACATAAGAACAACAACTGAATCGAGAACGCGAAAATGAATATTTTTCACATAAATTCTATGTGATTAGATACATATAATCACATGTGATTATATGCATTTAATCATATATGATATATGTGGACAATATTTTTCTTTGTGTTCTCGATTCAATAGTTGGTCTCGTGTATATAATCATATGTGATTATATGTATCTAATCACATATGATTTATATAGACATCATTCTTTTTTGTCCATAAAAATCATATGTGATTAGATACATATAATCACATGTGATTATATGTATTTAATCACATATGATTAAAGTTGACAAAGAACAATTACTAAATCGAGAATGTGATTATGAATCGTATCCACATAAATCATTGTGATTGGATACATATAATCATATGTGATTATATATATATTTAATTAGATATGATTTATGTAGACTATTTATTTATGTGGTTTTGATTGAATAATTGGTTTTATGTATTTAATCACATGTGATTATATTTATATATAATCACATATGATTTGAGGTGGACAAGATTTACTTTGCCTTCTCGATTCAATAGTTGTGCTCCTGTATTTAATCACATGTGATAATACATATAATCACATGTGCTAAAACACATGAGAACAACTATTGAATCGAAAAAGCGAAAATGAATTATGTCCACATAAATAATATGTGATTAGATTCATATAATCACATGTGATTAGATGTATTTAATCACATATGTTTAATGTGGACAAAGATTTGTTTTCGCATTCTTGATTCAATATTTGTTATCGTGCATATAAATATGTAATCATATGTGGTTATATGTATCTAATCACATATAATTTATATAGACAATATTCGTTTTCTCTAAATAAAAATCATATGTGATTAGAAACATATAATCACATCTGATTAAATGTATTTCATCACATATGATTAAAGTGGAAAAAACAATTATAAAATCGAGAGCACAAAAATGAATCTTAGCCACATAAATCATATGTGATTAGACACATATAATCATATGTGATTATATGTATCTAATCACATATGATTTATGTGGACATTATTCATTTTTATGTTCTTGATTCAATAATTGTTCTCGTGTATTTAATCACATGTGATTATACGTATCTAATCACATATGATTTATATAAATAATATTCAAATTCGCGTTCTCAATTCAAAATTTGTTATCATGTATTTAATCTAGTTGTTATCATGTATTTAATCATATGTCATTTTATATATATAATCACATACAATTAATATAGACAAAGAACAACTATTGAATCGAAAACACAAAAATGAATCTTGTGCATATAAGGCATATGTGATTAGATCATATAATCACATATGATTTAAATACATGAGAATAATTAACGAATTGAGAACGCGGAAATGAATCTTGTATGCTTGTCGCACTAGAGAATAAACTACATTATGCATTTTCTTGTTCACTCTACCGGATTAGGGTATTCATGAATAATAACATAAAATAAGTAATGCCTACATAATAGGAGAGTTATTATAACTCACCTCCATGAACTTGAAAATTAGCTAGCTTGAGATAGATGGATCATTTCCTTTCCGAGAACTACACAACAATTATAACATTATTTAGCTTGTGATTTATTGTATTACTCTTATAAAACTTATGTACATATTTCCTTATTTTCTCTTTGATTGCAGTGCTCTGTTTGGGATCTGTTTTCTTACCTTCAACCCAATCTTAAATTTCGATACAATAATATTGGCAAATTTTCCGCTTTTATATTTTCATAAATATAAAGATCTCGTTCTAACGATTTTTGGTTGATTTTATATTAAATTTACAAGTTAGTAACTTTAAACTGTGACTTTCTGGACCACTCAACACTCTTCGAACAAACTGTACCAATATACTAAGAATTATATCAGTCCCTTTATATGTGGGAAACTATATACCCATATCTAACTATAGGATTTGGAATTTTGGCATTTGGAGTTCTGATGAATTTATTATGATTTTTTGAAAACAATGCATGAAATTTGTGACAACATGGACCAGCCTGAGAAGATTGCCAATTTTACCCCTCAAGGAGTTGGAATTTCGAAATGTGATTCAAAGTTTGAAGAAACTAGACACACTAAAATTTCCGGTAAACTAAGTCTCATGATTTTTAGATGTTCTTATTGACATGCAGGAATTTAAGTTGGAGGACAGATTTGGGAAAATTGATCATAATAACTTCTAAATCACTTTTGGTGTTCTATTAAGGAATTAATGGTTAAGCCTTAAGTTTATCACCTTTAACATGATTGTTGGTTACTTATTAGGCTATAGAGATGTGAAATTCAATTTATCTAAGGGCCTTAATGCTTGGCTTAATGAGGGTTCAAAGTTAAGGATTTTCACATAAAATGCCACTTTCACACTTATTAGGTTCTTTCAGACAATATAACAAACAGCTTGTGTGCATGAAATCCTACAGTTATCATCAACTCTCTAATAGACTCCAATCCAACCCCTGGAGCTTACTATTTTCAATAAAAACAATCTAGTTGTACACATAATTCCTCACAAAAGCAAGCAAATGAACAAGCAAGTTTGTAATTCATCAACTACAGGAAAATATAAAGGAATTTTTCAAATAGAACGTCTTTTATGATGTGAAATCAAGTATTAGACACTCGATTAGTCGTTCATTATAAGCTTAATTTCATGAATTTCGTGATAAATCGAGTCAATTTAGGTTGAAAAAACGCAGGTGTATATACTTACAAAATACTACCTGGAAGCTTTCATAGACCGTCTTTGTAGGGATCAACTTCACTGTCGATTGAGACTTGCGGAAGAGATAGTTAACGACCAGCTCCGTCGATGGTGATGGTGATTCAAATTACACACAAAGATATTTAGAGAGACAAAGATATGTACAGAGAGAAATATGAGAGAGATACGTAGAGAGAGAAAGATATGTAGAGTGAGAAATAGAAGAGAGATACGTAGAGAGAGAAATATGAGAGAGATACGTATAGAGAGAAAGAGGAGAAAGAATGTCTATAAAAATAAAAATAAAGTTCTAATTATGTTTTAATGAAATTAAGATATTTTTTTAATATATATCATTAAAATTTCAACATTTAAAAATTAATAGTCAAAATTTGTTCTCAAATGTCTCGTAATAAGAAATGTTTTCGATTGAACGTATTTTATATATATATATATATATATATATATATATATATATATATATATATATATATAGTTTATGATCACATATAATATTAATAGTTTACAATACATTGATAATTATACACAACACTAATCAGCAAAATTTCCCAAACTTGATGAGAATTGCCGATTAATTTTATTTATGAAATAAGAAATAATAATATTCGGTCACTTTCACGAATTTAAATCTAATTATACACATCACCGATTGATTAATTTGGCGAAAGAGCACCATAACTTCGCCATAGAGGAGCCGGTGCCGGCGACGGAGTAGCCCATTGAACGTTGGACGCCTCCAACTGATCATTACTAGAATACCCTTTGGAGCAAGGTATATATGTCAGAGATTTTTTATCAGGGCAAGATGGAAGATTCGAAAAGAAACGAGCACAATCTGTCGGTGATCTTTGATTCGGAAGATCCAAAATGCAGTTCATCTTCACATCAAGAATTTCTTTCTTGATCAGTTCCCGGCACCGGGGCCCAACCTGAGTGAAATAATTATACGATACAGTGAAATTCGACAGTTCCGGAAGGTTGCACACCGCCTCTGGCACCTCGTTGTAGAACTTATTGTGAGCCAAGTTCAGAAGCTCCATTTTCTCTAAGCACTGAAACGAGTGCGGGATTGGGCCTGTTAGATCGTTGAATCCGACGTCGAACACTGTGGATTTCTTCAAAAGTCCGATCTCATACGGCAAACAACCGGTTAACTGGTTGTTCAAGAAAAGAACCTCCTGTAGGGTTTTGGCAGCTCTACCAATGCTCTTAGAGATTTCACCAATGAAGTGGTTGTTAGCTAGGGTTAAATAAAGCGCGGTGGTTGAGCCAAGGCTTTCGGGGAGTGTTTGCTTGAAATTGTTGTTGTTGATGAATAGCAAGTCGAGGTCGAGAAGGAAGACATCTGGATGTACTACGCCGGAAAAGGTGTTGAACCTGAGGTCGAGGAATACTAACTTCTTGGCATGGAGGACTTGGTAGGGAAAGCTACCGGTAAATTTGTTGTTACTGAGGTCGAGCTCTAATAAGTAGCGGAGTGTGCCGATATCAGCGGGGATGGAGCCAGTGAAGTTATTGGAATTTGCATGGAAAAATGCGATATCTTTCAAACCGGTTAGAAATTCGGTCAGGGTTAGATTTGGTCCATACAAATTCCTGTTGTTGAAGTTGACGCCGGCGATGCCCCTTTGTTTAACATCCGGTACCACGTCGCAAATGAACCCTTGGTAATCGCAAATATTCTTGCCTTTCCATGTTTTCGTAATTCCTGTGGGATCGCTTGTCACTTTGTTTTTGAAGGCTTGGATTACTTTAAAGTCTCTTTGTTGTAGCATGTTGGCGAAACCATCGAAGAAACCACCTGGTGGTGATGGCGTCTGTGGTGGTTTTGGTGGACGTGGTGATGGCGGAGGTGGTGGTGGTGGTGGTGATAGACTTGGTGACGGAGGAGGCGGTGGTTTCCGTGATGGCGGTTTTGTTGATGGTGGTGGCGGACATGGAGGTGGAGGTGGAGGGGGGCAATCTTGAAATTCCGGTGGTGGCGACGACGGAGCACCAACACCTATGATTATCTCAAGTGTTTCTCTAGGAGTAACAGCTTCGCCATTGATAGCAAAGAGAAGAGTGATGCAAATCGAGAGTGGAATTGCATGAAGGCCGCCCATCTCTGATCCGAGGAAGTTCAGTGAATGAAAAAAAGATAACGAATTTGTATAAATAATAGAGTCACGGGCATCATATTGATGTAAACTTGTCTTTTTCCTCTCATTTGTTTCCCAAATGTTTAATTTAGTGAAAATGCTAATACGCCAGCCATAAAGATAAAGTATTGGTTCAGCCGATAACCTAGCAAACAAACAACACCTTAATTATATTTAAGACACAATTATGGTGTACGTAGTTTGATCAGTAATATATTAGCTGAACTGGCAACTAGGTTCTATATTAATCAACTAAGTTCTATATTAATCTTAATCTACTCGGTCACACCAGTCAACCCCACCCAAACAAATTACTGGTTCTGGTTTTCATTTTGCTTGAGTTTTGTACTTAATTTCAACAAAATGCTTATCGGCGTCTCCTGCTTAAAAAAACACTAGATAATTAATATAGGAATAATAGGATTTATTGTGTTTGTGGCGAAATTGAAGCAGTATAAACACGAGGGACTGTTTTGCTGTTTTATCATAAGTGATATTCATGTATTAAATAGTTTAATTTAAAAAAAAAATTAAATATAAATGTCAAAATATTTGAGAATTTTAAATTTATAAGAAAATAAGAAAAATAATAATTTATTATAATGTAAATGCTTTTTTATCTTTTAAATTTAAACAAATAATTTAAATAAAGAAAAAAAAAACTAATGAGCTTTAAATTTGAGATTTTTTGAAAATTAAAAGGTAAGTTTATTAGTGAAATTAATATTCATTTATTACTATATTTATTACGATTATTACATTAAAATATGAGATATATACACTAAAGTCCCAATATTTTCATTGATTTGACAAAAAGTCCTAAACTTTATTTTTTTTACAGTAAAGTCCTAACTACCAACAGTTTTTGACACTTTTACCCTTTTTTTCCGGTTAGCCGGTAATTAGGACTTTTTTTTGTCAAAATAATAACGTTCAGGAATGTGGAGACAAATTATATAAATGCAAACAACACATGCCTAGTCAAAAGGGTGTGAATGTGGAGAAGGGCTAAGAAGGGCAATTTCATTTTTTCCGGTTTCTTAGTTCTCCATTTTTAGGTCTGCAAAAAGCCAACATAACCCTGAGTTTTTCTTTCTTTCTTAATTATCTCTATTTTTTTCAATATCAGGTTGTTGAGATTAAAAAAATCATTTAACAAGAAGCAAACGTTAAGGATTTCAATAGTATCTACCTGACTAGAGCAGATTTCAATAACTCTCATGCTTAAAGACTATCATACCATTAAATTTCTAACAAAAAAAAGGATATATACACTAAAGATCCAATATTTTTCCTTCGATTTGACAAAAAAGTCCTAAACTTTATTTTTTTTGACAGTAAAATTCTAATACACGATTTGACAAGAAAGCCCTAAACTTTATTATTTTGACAAAAAAGTCGTAATTACCGGCTAACCGGAAAAAAGGATAAAAGTGTCAAAAACTGCCGGTAGTTAGAACTTTACTGTCAAAAAAATAAAGTTAAGGACTTTCTTGTCAAATCGATGAAAATATTGGGACTTTAGTGTATATATATCCCTTAAAATATTATATGGAATTTAATAAAACAGAAAAACTTATAAAATGACATGTGGAAAAAAATTTAATTCAAAATAACCACAAAATGACATTTGGCAAACTGAATGAGAGTATGACAAGTGGCAAAAACACCTCCATTTATTAGAGAGGATTTATCCACTTTTTTTTTCAAATATCACAATTTCCCGGTATTGCCTTTATTTTCCGGTTACCATTAATTTGACTGGGTTTGTCATGTGGTTGATGACTTGGACATTGGCTGACGTGTTTTAATGTTGCCACATTAGTGGCTCAGCTCGTTAAAATGCATCAACAATATTAACACATAAAATGAGCCTATGCTCATAGGGCATTTGACCTGAGTCGAGTCAAGTATTGTCATGTTCAAAACTCGACTCAAGTTTAAAACTCGACTCGAGTAAAAAACTTGAACTCGAAACTCAATTCGAGCCTTACTTTTAAACTCGGGCTCGAGCTCGATAAAGTAATCGATATTTTCGAGCCCGACTCGACTCGACTCGATTAATTAGTTATTAAAAAAATAAAATTACATAAAATTTGTAATAGTAATAAGATTAAACTCGTGAACTCAAATCAACTTGATTCAAATTATGTAAATTTGAATAAAATAACGGGTAAGTATAAATATGACAAAGCTCGAATAAGCTTGCGAGCTTCATGAGCCGAGTAATCCAATACTCAAGCTCGACACGATAATATATTCAAGTAGTTAGAGCTTGAGCTCGACTTGATTCAAACCGAGTCGATTTCGAATGTTTTTCGAGTCGGTCCAAAGTATCTCACGAATTGGCTCGACTCGATTCTACCCATACTTGCTCATATTCAAACATGGAACCTCACAAACGTTTACACAATGCCCTAACCATTGGGCCAAGATACATTTTTTTGTAAATACATCATTGCACATTAATGGCGTGTTCAGTATGGAGCGTTTAGGAGCGTTAAAGAGCTTCTAGCGTTTGACAAAACGCTCCATTTTGAATTGAAAGTCTTGTTTGACACTACAAGCTTCTAGTGTTTAGTTAAAAAAAACGCTCCAAATCCAAATGCTACGTCACGTAGCGTTTAACAAAACGCTACCCGCTACAAGCTACCCGTTACCAGCTAGTTTTGCCGAACACACCCTAAATATGTTATGTAGTAATTTGCTAAAATTAAAACAAATTATCGAAAGAGACTTACAAACCTCATCCTTGTGACCATTTTTAGTTGAATGATAGAATATATATCTCTTTTAACAAAAAATAAACCTAAAATTGTCACTTACCCTTTTATTAAACAGACTATTGTACACCATCAATCTTTTCCAATCTCTATTTCTTTTTATTTCCGTCTTAAAATGTTGTTGCATATTAGAAAATATAGAAATTAATTTTTTCTATTGTATTTGGCAACAATATAAATTATTAATTAATTTCAAACTTCAAATCCCCTAATATTAAACAATATCTTTATTTGTTTAGATATTTTTTGTAACGCCCGCAAATTCGGGCTAGTCAATTTAGAGACAATGAACATCAAAAATGAGTTTTTGATGAAAGATTATTTAGAAGGAGTAATCTTAACCAAGCGATATTATATGTTACAAGGGTTCCGTACATATAAAGAACGCCGAAATCTGAGTTATAACGAAGAAGTTATGGCTCGTCGAAGTTTCGCGGAAAAATCGGCACGACACCGGGAAACGTAAATAGTGAATTTACGATAGAGGACTTTTTAGCCTTAGAAATCTAAACAAAAGTTGTAGTATACGTTAAACCAAGAGTGTATATAAAAAGAACGCGTAAATCTGACTTCGTATGAGGAAGTTATGATTTTTCTAAGATTTGGCTTAGCAGTGCACAGCCCGAAACTCGAATTTGAGATCGAGCAGTTTTTGGCCAACGCGAACTAAATTAGAATTTAAGATCTCATTAATAGGAACTCAATGATAAAAAGACAGACGAAAACGGAGTCTGTATTACGAATTTTACGCGGACATTTAACAGTATAATCTCCTCGTACTGTTAAATTTAAGATCGATCGATAATTAGCCGACGAAGTCAAAATGAAATTTGTAGATCTTATTTTTACCTACGTGTGGATATAAATAACGTCGAAAATGGAGCTCGTATGCCAATGTTATGAATTTTTTGAAAATCGGCTGATTTCCACCCTATGTGCGATGCCACGTGTCAACACCAGGTTGTGACTTGGTGCCCAAGCCAGTTCACGACGTGAATTAACCCCGATTTATTCACACCTTTCAATCCATCCCTCTCTCTCTAGAACCTCTATCCAGCCTCTAAAACCCCCCTAAAGCCTAGGTAAACCCCCTAGCACCCGAATGAAGCCCCGAGGCTCCCGGAGGCTCCGAGAAAAGAGCCTTTCGTCTCGGGAACGCTGCTCCAGCAAAGCCCGGTTTTGAGAAAAAACCCGCTGTAAGTGAGTTACGCCTACCCTATCTTTAAATATAGATTATATATAAATATAATATCGTTATTATGAACCTATAAATAAGATTTATTAGTGATTCAAAGTCATTATACTGATTGATCTACTTACGGGAATGATGTCTAGGCTGTGATTTAGTGAGGTGTTTAAAGTGAGATTTCCAAACAGTATACTTCGTATACCAAACGGACCCTACCTCCGATATGATCCTACCTGGTTGTTCCTTACTTGATAGATCATGAAGTGGACTTTGAGTTAATGATGAATCTAGACTAATAATTAGTCGCAATGAATATTAGACTAAAGTCTACTGGTAATGATACTAGGTTTCGTCGAAAGAAAATAAATTAATAGAAGTGAAGCGCTGTCTGAGTTCGGAATCACCACCTTAAAAAGTGAGTGCATAGTTACTTTCATCTTACACATAGATATGAAGTATTTAATATAAATTACATGCTATGTGTGAATCTTATCTGTATATACTTGCTATGCTGGATGAACAATTTTATACATGTTTTAAATGATTTAAACTGTATATATATTTTATATCTACAAAATATGTTGGGTAAACATGGGTAGATGAAATATGAGTCAGATGATGAGGTGAGAGGTGAAATAGACTATGAGGTGAGGGTTAGAGGTGGACGATGTGAGAAGCCTTTTACCCAAATGTTGGCCCCGTCATCTAGCAGAATATGGATGACAACCACAGACTATTCTAGACAGTTCAGTGGAACACTAGCATGCTCGCAACCTGTAGGTGTTGTGAACGATGTGTTCACTGGTGTACTCTAAAAACCCATTGACATGTATTGCGAGTGAACTCTCGAAAATGATACTGTCAATAAACGAGATAACCCTGGCAGCTGTGCCCGAAAGACAATATCGGCAGCTGCGCCTCATAGAGAATGTCACAATTCTGGCAGCTGCGCCTAAGGGATAGAACTAGCAGATGTGCTTGACAGCTGTGTC